TCGCGTTTGGGGCGCGGTCGGCTCTGCGCCCTCGGCTAGTTGCCGGGGGGTCCGCAACGCAAGAGCGCGATTGTCCAGCGTGTTTTTCTGCGGCTCGTCTGCGCGGGCGGCTCTGCGCCCTCGGCTCGTTGCCGGGGGTCCGCAATGCAAAATCGCGGCCCCCCAGCGTTGGCGCGGCATGTTTCTCTCAGCGCAGCGGCGGCGCGCATCGGCCGAGTCTGGTTATTTTTCCGTCGTCGGCGTCGTCGTAGTCGTCGTCGTTGTCGTCGTCGCCGCCGTCGTCGTCGTCGTCGCCGCCATCGCCGTCGTCGTCGCGGTCGTCGCCGTCGTCGTCGTCGTCGTCGCCCCTCCGTCGTCGTCTCCGTCGTCGGCGTCGTAGTCTCGTTTCTATTGTGTCCTCGGCGTCGTCGTCGTCGGCGTCGTCGTCGTCGTCGCCCCCCTTGCGTCGTCGTCGTCGTCGGCGTCGGCGTCGTCGTCGTAGTCTTCGTCGTCGCCGTCGGCGTCGTCGTCGCCGCCGTCGCCGTCGAGGTCGTCGTCGCCATCGTCGTCGCCCCCCTCGTCGTCGTTGCCGTCGTCGGCGTCGTCGTCGTCGCCCCTATTGCGCCCCCCTTCATCGCCGTCGCCGTCGTCATCGTCATTACCCTCGTCGTCGCCCCCCTCATCGTTGTAGTCCCCCATTGCTGTCGTCGTCGTCGACGTCCTCCTCCTCCTTCGTTCTCGTCCTCGTCGTCGTAGTCGTCGTCGTCATCGTCGCCCCCTCGTCGTCGTCGCCGTCGGCGTTGGCGTAGTCCTTCTCGTCGTCGTCGTCCTCGTCGTCGTAGTCGTCGTCATCGTCGCCCCCTCCTCGTAGTCGCCGTCGTCGCCGTCGTCGTCGTTGTCGTCGTCGTCGTAGACTCCCTTGCGTCGTCGTTGTCGTCGGCGTCGTCGTCGTAGTCGTCGTCGTCGTCGCCGCCGTCGCCGTCGTCGTCGTCGTCGTCGTCGCCCCCCTCGCCGTCGTCGTCGTCGTCGCCCCCATTGCGTCATCGTCGTCGTCGTCATTACCCTCGTCGTCGTCCCCCTCATCGTTGCAGCCCCCTTGTCGTCGTCGTCGTCTCCGTCGTCGTCTTCCTCCTCCTCCTTCGTTCTCGTCCTCGTCGTCGTCGTCGTCGTCGTCATCGTCGCCCCCTCGTCGCCGTCGCCGTCGGCGTTGGCGTAGTCCTTCTCGTCGTCGTCGTCCTCGTCGTCGTCGCCGTCGTCGTTCTTCCCCTTGTCGTCATCGTAGTCGCCGTCCCCGTTGGGACCGTCGCCATCGTCGTCGTCGTTGCTCTCCTCGTCGACGCCCCCCTCGTCGTCGTCGATGTCGTAGTCTCCCCTGTCGTCGTCGTCGTCGTAGCCGCCGCCGTCGTCGCCCCCCCCGCCCTCGTCCTCGTCGTCGTCGTCGTCTTCGTCGTCTCGCGCGGCATGCGCGTCTGCGCGGGGCCGTCTCCGGCCCACCCCCCCCGCCCCTCCCCGACTTGTTGCGGGGGGGGGCGGGGGGCGCAACGCAAAGTGGGGGCCAGTCCAGCGACCGCACAGTGTCGATCGAACGCCTATCAAATGCTGCACTCGGCGCCCTCGTCTGCACCCCTTCTCCTCGCGGCGGCGCGGCGGGGGTCTATTGTCCCCCTCGGGCCTCCGTCGGTTTGCGGCGCAACGGTTTAGGCGCCCAGTCTCGGTTGTCTCTGTAACCTCCGCTCTGGCGCCCGCGGTCTCGCAACGCTAAACTGGGCTGTCACGGCGAAGCTTCAGCGCCCGCAATGGTTTTTTTTGTTTTTGTTGTGGTGCCAGGGTGGGCAGCCGCGCAACGCTGAGCCTCTGTCGTCGCGGGTCGCGCAGAGAGCCCCCCCCCCTCCTGCTTGATCCCTTATTCGCCCGTCTTTTGCCGCGGTTGCTCGACCGCTGGCGCGGATCCCCCGACTCGCCGCTGACAGAAATGCGTGCGCCTGCGCCTCCGTGGCTGCATCCTCGCGCCCTGTCCTGCGCGCGCGTTCCCCGCGTCATCTTCCTCCACCTTCTCCTTCTCCCTCCGCGACCCGCAGCCATCCTGACTCGAGGCCATCCGCCTTCGGCGGCGCGGGCGGTGCCGGGCGGCACGGGCCGCCTGGTCATCTGCTCGTCGCTGACCGTGTCCACCTCTGGCTCGGGGTGTGATCCGGAGCCGGCTACAGGCGCTGGCGGCCCTTCCTCCGACGACGAGCGGCCACTGGCAACGGTGATCGCCGGCCCGGTCGGGGTTGCTGCGCGGACAGCCGCGCCTTCCAGGACAGGGCGGGGCGCGGCGGCGCCCCGCTCGGACGCAGCTGGGACAGGCGCCGCGCCGGCCCCGCGGCTCTGCGCAGCGGCCGCTGGCGGCGCCGGATCCGCCGCGGCGCCCGACGGCCCCGCCGCCTGCGCTTTGGAGGCGCAGGCCCGAGCAGCACGGCTAGCGCTGTCGGCGGGGCCCCGCCGCGGCTCGTCGCGAAACGACTACCCGAGGCAGTCCACCTGGAGGCGCCGAAGCACAGCGCCCGGAAGCGGGGCCCGGAAGGCACAGAGGCGGCAAGCAAGAATGAATTATTGTGCCTCTTTTGCGACGGCATCCACCAGCTTCTGCGGGTGGACCGCGCGCTGCCATGCGAGCCCGGACTCGCGGCCCGTGCGCCTGGAGGAACTCAAGATCTCGGAAAGTTGCGCCGCTTTCCTGAAGGCGCGCTTCGGCCACAGGAGCACGACGATCTGCGGATCGCGCGCCACCGGCTACATCCGCCCCTCTTTGGCGGTGGCCGACGCGGGCGCGGCGACGGGGCCCGAGGAGGACGCGGTCAGCAGCATCGAGGCGCACATCGCTCGGCCCTGCGGCTCCGGCCGCGCGGTAGACTCGCGCGGCCGGTTCCACGAAGGATGCTTCGCGCGCCGCGCCTGCTGGGCGGACTTCGACCTCGACCGGACTACTTCGGTCGATTTGCTGCAGGGCCGCGCCCTGCTGGAGGACCGCGACAAGGCGACGCACATCGCCGGCGCGTTCTCGCCCCGCAGCTTCACGGCACAGGGCGCCGCTGCGAGCTCCGGGTCTGCCGCCGCGGGCGGCGGCTCGGAGCCCGCCGTCGAAGACGGGCCCCGGGGCGCCTTCTTTTGTTCGCACAAAGGAACTGGATCTTTCAAGGCGCCCTTCTGCCTGTACTTCCTCGCGCTGTGGCGAACTCGCCCACGATCTCGCTGCAGCGCCAGGGCGAGCTTGAGCGGTCTGTCGTGGCCGGGGGGGGCGCGGCGCGCGCCCCGGCGCGCCTGGCCCCTGCTCTGGCGAGCGCCCCGTCGCCCAGCCAAAGGGAGGCCATAAGGCGGGGCGTCGCTGCACAGTATTGGTTATATTGCTTTTTTATTCCTAGATGGGAGGTCGCTTGGCGGGCGCGGCCAAGAAGTAACTGGAGCCCCATCGCATCCGCTGGACGGCGCTGCACCTGGAGTTTCTCCTGCGCGAGGTGCGGAAGACCAGGGCGAAGAGAGCGGTTGCTTACCGGGCACCCTCGCTGGCGGATCCTCGGCTGCCTCGCTTGCGCGAGCTACCTGTCGCGAAGCCTGATTGGTAATTTCTGGACGGTGCCCTTGTACACCTTTGGCGCCCTGCCAATGAGCAGGTTGGGGGGGGGGGGGCGCCGCCCCCCTGCACTTATGTCTTCTACCTCTTTGGCGTCCTGTCCGCGAACAGGTTGGAGAAGTCACGCCGCCCCAGCGCACCTGCGTCTCCTGCGTCCTTGGCGCCCTGTCGGCGAGCAGGTTGAGGGGAGTTGCGCTGCCCCGGTGTACCTATGCATTATGCATTGTCCATCCTTGCCTTTTCAAAGAGCAGGTTCGGGGAGCTGCGCCGCTCTGTTGAAAAAGAAAGGATCTCGGCTGGTCCCACCACCCTGCGCGCGCTCACGGGGCGGGGAGGAGGCACCACGGACATGACGGGTCATGCCTTCCGGGGTTGCGCGGGCAGGTGTACTAGTGTTGCTTGTCCGCTACGTTACAAAATCTTGGGCTGCCTAAATCGCGTCCGCGTACCCCCACCGCCGAGACCCTTCCGCCGAGAAAAAATACGTCTCGCAAACGCGGCTTTGCGACATTACGACATCACTCTTCCTTTCTGTCCACTCCTCCTCCTCCTCCTCCTCCTGCTCCTCCTCCTCCTCTTCCTTTCTGTGGTGTCTCACTTCCTACGCCAAGGCTTCCGACCGCGCCGCAGCCGGCGCTGGCCGCGTCATAGAAATCAGGGCGGCCTCGGCAATTCGACAAAAAAAGCCAAGCGGAGCACCTCAGCCGAGGAAAAAAAATACACTTCGCAATCGTGCCCTTGCAACTTCGGGAAGAGAGACAATAGACACCGCGCGCGCAGCCAGAGGCGGAGGTCGGCAGACGCGAAAAAATACGCCTCGCAAGCGCGGTTTTGCGACATTGCGACATCACTTTTCCTTTATGCATCCTCCTCCTCCTTCTCCTCCTCCCCCCCCTTCTTCTGCGGCGCCTTATCTCCCACGCTAAGGCTTCCGACCGCGCCGCAGCCAGCGCTGGCCACGCCATGAGACGCAATAGACACCGCACAGCCAGAGGCGGAGGTCGGCAAGAACGCCAAACGCGCAACGCAGCAATGGGCGGAGGTCGGCAATAACGCCAACCCCCAGGCGCGGAGGTTGGGAAAATCACGCGCCCCCCCCCTCGTCGCCCCACCTGTCAGCAGAGAACAAATGCGCTCGCAAACGCGATCCTGCAATTCCAAGAAGAAACGCAATGGGAACCGCGCAGCAAGAGGCGGAGGTCGGCAACAACGCCAACCTCCAAGCACGGAGGTTGGGAAAATCACCAACGCCCCCCTGGTGACCCTCGTCCTTCTCGCCCTCCATTTGTCAGGAAACGCTGGAGTTTCTGCCCTGAAAGGCTTCGGGTTTCCATCGAAACTCTGCGCGCGCCGCGCCTCGGGACACCGTGGAAACGCTGGTCGCGCAGAGAGTCTCTCTCCTGCGGAGGCAGCCGTGGAGTGGCTCACGGCGAACAACCACCTCCACAGGCATTACCGCGCCCTGCGCCAGGATGCCCTGGCGGGAGGGGAGACCTACATCAGGACTGCCCGGTGCCTGCTGCACCTGGGCGGCATCGAGGTGGCAGCCCGGCCGCACTTGCACCCGCGGCCTGCGTTCGCCGACACCGGCATCAAGAAGCGATTGCAGGAGGGCGGCTGGGAGGCGGGGACGCCGCCTGTCAAGCGGTCCATCATGCGCAAGCTCAGCTGCCGCGTGGCGGACTACTACATGGGCATGATTGGCGCCGCCGACAAGACGGAGCAGCCCCCGGATAATTTCACCGTCGCGAACCACACCTTCGAGAGCTACTGGAGAAACCAGGCCAGCGTCCTCGTGGACAGGGCCCGGCAGCGGGGCCTGCCCACGCTGTTCCCCACGCGCACGGTGGCGGAGTGGAAGTTCCCGCTCCTGTCTGCCGTCTTCGCCAGGTACAAGAAAGCAGGCCGCCTCACGGACATACAGGGCCCCCTCACCATGCACGCCTATCACGTGATCAGGAAGGTCCTGGACGATTTCCTTCGGTCGGAGTGTGTGCCCGCGTACTTCAAGAGATTGCATGACTACAGCCTGCGCGTGGAGTTCCAGGGCCGCGGCACCCTTCACGCCCACCTCGTGGGCTGGGTTGGGTGGACCTCGACCCCTCCCGGCAGCACCTGGGCTCGCCGGGCAGGTACATCCTCGCTGGGAGGACCGACGCCGAGCACTGCTCGCCGCTCGCCCGTCGCCTCGACGAGATCTTCGCGGGCCGCGTCGACGTGGCCTGCGGCCAGGGCATGGACGAGGCGCTCCTGAATCACGTTACGAGGTACGCCGCGAAGGCTTCCGTTTCGCTGTCCTGGCGCGCCTCCGGGCACGGCGACATCGAGGACTCTCAGTGGCTCCGCACATACCGCATGCTCACCAAGCGAGCCCTCACTGGCCCTGAGATGATCATCGACCTCGCGACCGCGCCGCTCATGATGCACACCTACGAGCAGTCCGCCACGCACGCGCAGGCGCCCGACTCCAGGTCCGGGTTCGGCCCCCTCGGCAGGCTCGACAACGACGCGGAGAAGAGCCGGCCCATCCCCGACACGGCGCACCGCAAGTTCCACGACTTGTACCTGGACCGCGAAGGACAGGGAGGTCGCCTCCCACCCGACGCTGCGGGCTTCCAGGAGTCCTTCGCCGACTTCGCCAGGATGCACAGGTACGACCCCGCGAAGCACCGCGCCGCGCAGAGGTTCCAGGGCACGCGGGCCCAAGCGTGCTTTGGCAAGGTGTCCTGCTCCGTCGGTTTCTCCTTCTCCTGGGGGGCCCGCGACAACTTCGCGGGCCAATTCATGGCTACCTTCGTGCCGCGCGACAAAGCCAACGACTGGGAGCTGCGCGAAGAGCTGCCCGGGCGCGGGGAGCCGCCGCGCCCGGAGAACACGCGGTTCCTGACCGCTGCCCTCCGCAGCGCGTGTCGGGACGGAGGGGCGGTTCGGTCGTCTCTCCAGCGGTGGATCCGCGAGGAGGATGCCCGTTTGGCCGAGTACGTCGATTTCGCCCAGAGCTGCGAGGAGCGCGGCAAGCCGTCCAACAGGAAGGCCAGCACCGACGCGTTCAAGTCCTTCGCCTTCCAGTCCGCCCAGGCTCGCGGCGCGCAGCTGGTGCAGGGCCAATGGGGGAGGGGGGCTACTCTCGTCAGACGGATCCCGATTCGGAGGAAGGGGGGGGATGGGGGGTGCTCCGAGGCGCCCTACCGCGGCGGCGCGCTGCCCGCGTGTCTGCGCGCGCGGTCGACCCCCCTGGCCTCGTCTCAGGCTGCGGGCCGGTTGCCAAGGAGCGCACGGCAGTTCGGGAATGGTTGGTCTCGGGCAGAGCCGTCTCCTTCGACGCGCCGGAGGACAGGGAGATTGCCTTCCTGGCGGCCCAAGCGGCTACGGCCCGAAACCTCGGGCTCCGCGGCGCCAAGCCGGCTCGGCAATGCAATTTCTGTTCCACCATCCGCGCCAGCTTTCTTCTCGTCTGCCAGTGGCTTCGGCCCGCGAGGCCGACGCGGCGTTCGATCTCATCAAGACGGGCTGGAACTTGCAGCGGCCGCACCACTTGCTTCCGCGCGCGTGGCCCCCCGGCCAGGCGGAGCACCTCCGCGTGGCCCGTGCCGCCCTGTCCGTGGAAGACTCCCACGAGCTCCGGCTCGCCCCGGTGCTCTCCCGATTCGCGCACGTTTCTGGGGAGCCTGGGCGCGGGAAGAGCGAGGCCATCATCTACGCCGCGCACGAGGCCTCCCAGCGCGAGGCCCGGGTGCCGGCAGCATGTCCGACGGGCGTCCTCGTGGGCCAGTACCGGGACAGGTTGCCGTCTACCCAGTTCGTCACCGTGGAGACGATCCACTCGGAGCGGAGAGTCTCCCGGGACTACGACCGCAAGACGCACTCGCCCCCGACGACTCACGCAGCACGACGCCATCTTCATCGACGAGGTCTCGCAGCTCGATGACTATACATCTTCGAGATTATCTTGCAGGTCCTCCAGGAGTTGCCGCAGCGGCCCCTGGTCGTCTTCGCCGGGGACTTGCCCCAGCTCCAGCCGGTGGGCAGCGGGGGATTCGTCCGACATTTCCTGTCCAGCACATCCACATGGAGACGCACGAGTTCGCCAGGTCCAAGGACCCCGTGCTGCTGGACTTCCTCTCGGACATCCAGGCCCGGCAGCCAATCCGGCGAGCGCTGAAGGACTTCTTCGGCGAGCGGCACCTGGGCCGGAACTTGCCGCGCGCCGTAGCGGAGCGTCGCCGGGTTTCCCAGGAGGCCGCCCCTGGGGACAGGGACCCTGTCACGTGGCTCACGCGCACGAACGAGGGGACGCAGAAGGTCAATTGCGAGTACCTTCGACAGTCGCATGACTTGGAGCAGGCTTCCATCGACGCGCACCCCGGGGCCTTCCGCTCGGACCCCGACTATGGCGAACGCAAGTTGGTCGCCCAGGTCGGCACGTGGCTGCGGATGACGAAGAACATCGAAAAGGACGGACTTCTGCAACGGCGCCACGGGCACCGTCGCCTTCGTCCTCTCGGATTGGACGTCCGGGCCGCCCGTGTTCATAGTGCGGCTCTCCCACGGGGTGTACGTCTTGGTGCACCCCATCAAGACGGAGCAGGGCCTGCGCTGCACGGCGGCGCACATCCCGGCCGTCTACGGCTATGGCATGACCACTCGCCAGGCACAGGGCGCCACGTTGCGCCGAGTGGCCCTGCACTCCGAGCTCCGGCGGCCGGCCTGCCGGGGCTTCGCGCACGTGGGCCTCAGCAGGGTCTCGCGCCGCGACGGCGCTTTCTACTTCGGCCGCCATCGGCGGACGGACTGGCTCCCGGCGGGCGGCCCTGGGGCCCCCGCGGAGCAGGTGGAGCGGGGCGTCGACTCCACGGACGACTCCGACCTGTCTGACGAGGAGGCCGGCTCGGTGGCGCACGGGCTCGCACTCCGGCGGGTTGGCGTCGCGCGCGCCGGCGCTCCGGCACGACCCCTGGACGTCGCTGGCGCGCTCGGCGCAGGCCTTCCGGAGGGGGAGTCTGCGCGCTGGCTTATCCGCGCAAGGGCGATTCCGACGCCGACGGCGGCCTGGCGCTGCTGGGCGGCCAGGGGGCGGGCACGGCCGCCGACTACGGTGCCCTCTTCGGGGGCGACTCGGCCTCCGACACCCCAGGCGCTGATGCCGAGTCGGGCAGTGGGCAGGGCGGCGGCTCCGACAGCGAGGACGGCGCCCTGTTCGGGTAGCCTGCGCATCCATGCTACGACGCCTGGGCGCGGGCCAGCGGCAGTGCCCTGCCGTCGCCGGCGAGGGCCGGGGCAGGGCGGCGCGCCTGCGCGTCGTTGGCGACGATGTCCCTCCTTTCCGAATAGAGAATAGACTCAACCCCCTCCCCCCCCGGCGTTATCCGTTCCCCTTTCGGGTATGTAAATCATATATGATTCTGACCACATGTCCATCGTAAATTTGGAGTTACAATGTCCCAGGGGGGGCGGTATCGACCCCCCTGAGGTTCCCTTGTTAAAAACGATACGCGGGGACATCTTTTGTTCTAACGTCATACTTGTTCGCGAATATTTGTTTCCCCCCCCCCCCTCGAAAAAAAAAGACGAAGTGCACACGCGCGCATCGTCGCGCGCGCATGCCGAAATCCTCCAAAAACCGTCGGTGTCGGAAGGTCGTTTTGCAATCGAGTTTCCAAAACAAACAAAAGCACATGGTTTCGCAACATTGATTTGCTAACAAAGCTTACGCGCGAGCTCTTGCGAAATCTTAAGAAAAACCATTGGTCTTTCAAGATTTTCACAAAATGCTACCAAACGGGATTCGCGCGCGCATGTCGAAATCTGTCGAACGCCCTTGCGCGTGTGCCGTCGCGAGAATCCTCTGCAAAAAACGGGACGAAGTGCAGACGCGCGCGTCGTCGCGCGCGTATGTCGACATCTTTCAAAACCCATCGGCTTCGGAAGGATTCAACATCGCGTGTCAAAAAAAAAAAAAAAAAAAAAAAAAAAAAAAAAAAAAAAAAAAAAAAAACCCAAGGTTTCGCAACACGGATTTTCAACAAAAGCGTGCGCGCGCGCTCTTGTGTCGTCGTCGTCGTCGTCGCCGTCCTCCCTCCTCCCGCGTCGTCGTCGTCGTCGCCTACGTCGTCCTCTGTCTTTCCTCGTGTTCGTCGTCGTCGTCCTCTTTGGCGTCGTGGTCGTTTCCGTCGTCGTTGTCGCCGTGGTCGTCCTTCCTCCTCCTCCCTCGTCGTCGTCGTCGTCGTCGTCGTCGGCGTCTCGTCGTCGTCCCTCCTATTTCGTCGCCGTCGTCGTCGTCGTCGTTGTCGTCGTCGTTGTCTTCCCTCCTCCCTCGTCGTTGTCGTCGTCGGCGTCGCCGTCCTTCCTCCTTCGTCGTTCGCGTCGTCGCCGTCCTCCCTCCTCCCTCGTCGTTTTCGTCGTTGTCGTCGTTGTCGCCGTCGTCGTCCTCCCTCCTCCCTCGTCGTCGTCTTCGTTGGGACGTCGTCGTCGTCGTCGGCGTCGTCGTCGTCGTCTTCGTCTCGTCGTCGTCGTCGCCGTCGTCGCCGTCGTCGTCGTCGTCGGCGTCGTTGACGTCGTCGTCGTCGTCGTCGGTGTCATCGTTGTCGTCGTCGGCGTCGTCATCGTCGTCGTCGTTGTCATCGTCGTCGTCGTCGGCGTCGGCGTCGTCGTCGTCGGTGTCGTCGTCGTCGTCGTCGTCGTCGTCGTCGTCGTCGTTGTCGGCGTCGTCGAAGTCGTTGGACACGTCGTCGGTGTCGTCGTAGTCGTTGTCGGCGGCATCGTCGTCGTCGTCGCTGTCGTCGTCGGTGTCGCTGTCGCTGCCAAGTGCCATTTGGTACCCACCGTCACGGTCTTAAGAGATTTTGCAAACCACGTTGCGGGTGGGTGGGTGGGATGTTTGCGCGAGCACTGGAGTGGACAATTCACTGCGAACAGAAATTAACCGCACCATAGATTGCACAACAACTGCTGCACGATTTCAATTACGACACCGGGATGGCTCCGCCTATATTGCTCCACAACAATTGTAAATTCTATATTGCACAGCATGTGTTACACAGCATAGTTTCTCCACATAGTCGGCACCACGTATTGCACCAAATAGATTGCCCCACATTCAGTGCACAACCTAGAATGCCAGAAGCATAGTGTTTGGGGGTCCACGTTGGCTAACCTACATATGTTCATATTGCTAACAACAGATGTACACTTTCGCACATGCATACTCACATTATGTCTACATCTTTATATGTAGATGTATGAACATGTGCGTCTGCTAGCATGAGTGGACCCCAATCAGTGACTGGTTAAAATCTGTGCAGTGCTATTCACGTGGTTCAACCTAGGTGGTGCAACCCATGTAGAGCAAATTATATGGTCCATACAAAGCAATGCACAACACCAAAAATAATGCAAAGCAGTGCATAACAACGCAAAGCAGCACGAAGCATTGCAAAGCAACGCAATGCAATGCGAAGCAATGAAAAGCAATGCGAGGCGATGCAAGGCAATGCGGAGCAGAGCGAAGCAATGCGAAGCAATTCGGAGCAACGAAAAGCAATGCAAAGCAGTGCATTGTAATGCAAAGCAGTACACTGCGATGAGAAGCAATGCAAAGCAATGTAAAGCAACGCGGCGACGGGCGGCGACGCAGTCTTGGGGCCCTCTTGGGCAGACTCTGTGCTCTCTGGAGTCGTGTTCGGCACTCTTCGGGTCCTTCTGAGGGCTGATGCCGTCTTGGGGGCCGCCTTGGGCCCCTTTTGGGCCATCCGGATGCTTATTCGGCCGTGCTAGGGGTCTCTTAGACAGTCTCGGTGCGAACTTCGTGGCCTCGTGGGCCGTCGTGGAGGGCCTAAAGCTCGAAAGCGTTTGCATTTCGAAATCATTCGAAAACTTGCGGGAACGAATGACTTTGACGTCTTGAGGCTCTCTTAGGGGTCCTCATTGAGCCCTCTGAGGGTTTCTTGGGGGACTTTGGGGCAGTCTTGGGAACATATTGGACGGTCTTGGGCTGTCTTGAGAGGATCGTCGGCAATCTTGGGCCGTTATGAGGCATTCTTGGGCAGACTCGGAGCCTTCCTCGGACCCTCTTGGGAGCATCTGGAACCGTTTTGGGGTTGTGTGGCGGTCAAGGGGTCGGGGGCCTCTACCAACCCATTAAAGCCCACTGTCAAGTCATTTGGATGGACATGTGCCGATCTACACATGTATACACCGATTGTACATCAATATATGTATACAGACCTACGGCTACACCTCTATACACATAAACACAGGCACACATAGATGGATTCAGTTCACACAGATTCGCATGTTTATAAATACCAGGTGCATTGTTCTATGCATGTATCTATATACACGTATAGATAAACATAGAGAGATATAAGAGTGAGGGGGCCGAGCGGTCATTCGTTGTCTTTGGGTGCGTGGCTGAAGTGTGGTTCCGTGGCCAGGGTTCTTGTTGTTGTTGTCGTTGTTCTCGCCCGCAACCCCCCCGCGACCCACCCCGCGACCCACCCCGCGACCCGCCCGCGATCCACCCCGCGACCCACCCCGCGACCCACCCCGCGACCCACCCCGCGACCCACCCGCGACACACCCCTCGCCTACGCCTTCACTCTTATCCGCAATTGTGGGGTGCTACGTATACACACAAGCACGTGTGTGCGTGTGTGCTGGTTGAGCAGCTGGAAAGGGAGCAGCAGCTGGTGAAGCAGCGTGGACATGAGCTGCAGCAACCGCAGCGGCAGGAGGGGGAACAAAGGCTTTCGCGCTTCGGCCGGTGCGGCTGCGTCCCAGTCGGTGGTGGTCGGTCGGTCTGGTTCGGTCGGTTTTCGTGTCGTTGCCGCGCCGCTGCGCTCCTCTGGGCTGCTCTCGGCCTGCCGATTTCGGTCGGTTTCGTTTTCGCTGCCGCTTCGGTCGGTTTTCGGTCCCGCTGTCGCCGCGCGCGGCCTCGGCACCGAAGCTTTCAGATGTCCGCGCAGCTGTCGTGGGTCGGCGCTGGAACGGCGCCCGAAGCGCGGCCCCATGGGCCGCGCTTCCCGCGCCAGGGACAGGGGGAGCCCAGCGCCGACCCAGGCTCCTCCTCCCCCTCCTCCTCCCCCTCCTCCTCCTCCTCCTCCTCCTCCTCCTCCTCCTCCTCCTCCTCCTCCTCCTCCTTCTCTGGACCCCCGAAAGTTCATGTCTGCCATCGTTTCTTGCTCCTCGAGGGAGGGAGGAGGAGGAGGAGGAGGAGGAGGAGGAGGAGAGGAGGAGGGAGGAGGAGGAGGAGGAGGAGGAGGAGGAGGAGGAGGGGGACGCGAGGACGGGGAGGACCCAGACCCCCGACGTCATGTTTTTTGAGAAGTCGACCCCCAGAGGCCTCGACCCATGCCCCAGGACCGGCGGTGCGTCCTGAGCCGTTGTTTGACAGCCTCCAGGGGCCCAGCGAGGGCCCTCGGAGGCCGCAGTCGGCCAAAGCACCTGTCGTCGGGATGTTTTCTGATGTCCGCAACGCTTCTCGCTCCTCGAGGGGGAACAGGAGGAGGAGGAGGAGGAGGAGGAGGAGGAGGAGGAGGCGGAGAGGGGGAGGGGGGGGGGGTACCGCGCGAGCTGCTGGTCGCCTTGGCCTCGGCCTCGACAGGCGCCGCCGCAGCCGCAGGGAGAGGGGCGGGCTGGCGCGCACGCCCCGGCGGGGCCGCCGGAGGGCCGCGGCCCCCACGGGCCCGACCACGAGGAGAAGGTGAGGGAGCAGATCGAGCGCCTAAGGCCTCGTCCGTCCTCCTCCCCCCATCCTCCTCCCTCTTCCTCCTCCTCCTCCTCCTCCTCCTCCTCCTCCTCCTCCTCCTCCTCCTCCTCCTCCTCTCCTCCTCCTCCTCCTCCTCCTCCTCCTCCTCCTCCCCTCACCCGTCCACGCTGATCCCTGACCCCTCCTTCATTCATCCTCCTCCCTCCTCCTCCTCCTCCACCTCCTCCTCCTCCTCCTCCTCCTCCTCCTTCCTCGTCCTCCTGCCCCTCGTCCCGCCGACACCCGCGACTTGTCCCAACGTGCTGTCATCACGCGAGTCCGGCGCACGGCCTCCACGCCACTCTTTACGCAGTGGGCACGAGCGGGCTCCGAGCGGAGCGAGCACGACGCCGGCGCGGCGGTTCGCGCTGCTTCGCTTCGCTGCCCCTCGCCCACCGTGCTCCCCCCTCCTTTTTGCCTTACAGTGGGGGCCCCTGCCAAGAACCACTCTCTGCTTGCCTCCAGGGTGCCCTGGGTTTCGATGGTTTTGCGATGGAAAGCGTGACGTTCCTACTACCAGGAATCGATGGACGTCCTGGGGTCTCAGGGTTGGGTTCCTTGTGGAAGGGTTCTTGTGGACTGGCCTCCACTGTACGGTCGGACCGAGGTATAAGATCGAGGTCGGTTCGGGGAGGGTGCCCTACTGTTATTCTTGTTTGTTGGATGTGGATGTGCTTGTGCACCATCGGGGAGGGTGCCCTCGAGTGTTCCTCGGTTTGGCTGGCGGAGGGCCTCGTGTTCTTTGGAGGATGTTTTTGGCAGCAGATCATGGGAGCCTTGCGTACTCTCGCAATTCCGTCTTCAGCGTCGACCAGCGTCGATTAGCGTCTGGGAGTCGGTGAGCCAGCGCCGACTTAGCGTCGGCGAGCGTCGGCGAGCGTCGATTCAGCGTCGATTCAGCGTCGACTCGCAAGAGCCGACAAGATGGTACGGGAGGCTCCCCGTGGGCTGCCGCCGAATGGTGTTCGTCAGTCCCAGGCTGACGTCGGGCCCGTCCCTCTACAGGAGGAGCATTCCAGAATCTTCAAGTCGGGCCTGTCCCTCTACAGGAGGACAGTGAAAAAATAGTGTGGGGTCTATCTTTTGAGTATGTCTGGGCATGTTTGGGGTATTTGCGGGGGCCTTTTCTATTCTTCGTCGCAAATCCCCCCTGCAGGGGGACACGCCCGGCTTGCTCCCGGGCCCGGCCGCACGGCCACAGCGCAGCCCCGCCGAGCCGCCAAGAGCGCGCGTCGGCTGGGGCGGCCCTGTGCGCCTCGCCCGAGACGTCCCGAGCTCGCCTGTGCGCCCCGGAGGGTTGGCAGCTTCAGCAGCCACGCGCACGCATGCATCTGGGTCAAAAAAATAGTCAGGGGATGATTTTGTTGACTATGTTTGAGCATCTGGGGGGTATTTTTGGAGTGCTCCTGATCTTTCGCCCAGAAGCCCCCTCTAGGGGGACACGCCCGACTCAACCCCAGCCCGAGGTGCGCCCGCCAGCTTCCCGGAAGCCCAGACGGCCTCCCGGCTTGTCGGGGGCGGCAAAGAGGGGGGAGATAACTAGGGGGGGGGATATCATGGCGGGGGCCACGATATCTCCACAGATTTCATGGCGCCTCTTCTTGTTTCAGTACGTCCCTGGCCCCCCCCCCCTGGGCCGCGCACATGCCGCCAGCCATGATTTGCCCACACCCCTCTTGGACGCCCCCCTCTCTGCCGCCCCCGAGAAGAAAAAACGCCATGAACATAGACTTCGGGCGCTCCACGCAGATTCCTTGGCTGGCCCCTGGCGCGCTCCGCGCGCCAGGGAGGCAACGCAGACCCAAGAGATCCGCGCGGAGCGCCAGAAGTTTATGCTTATGCTGTTGCTTCTTTTTCTGATGCAGGGCGGGCCTTTTTTCAAAACGGGGCTCGCGCCATAGCGCCGCGCACGCTGTTCGGACCCATTTCTACCCGGATTCGATGCCTGTGGGCTCATCGCGCGACGGCTTCGAGCGGTTCCCAGCAAGCGTCTTGCCCCCCTCTCTCGAGCTTGCCCTCACCTGGAGGCGCCCGAGGACTGTGCTGGCAAAAGAGGCGCCGTCTCGAGGGTGGCCCCGTATACAAACGCTGGCGGTCGCGTGGATCATGAGTGGGCGAGTGAAGATACTCCAGCTCTGTCGATACCGACTCGGATGCGACGCCCTTGAGGCAATCGGACATCATATTGTATGCGAGCGCCTCATGCGTGCGGCCGAGCTCCAACCGCGGTTCCTTCCCTCCGAGCCTAGTGCGTCGTGGTTTCAGGGGCGAGTCTGAGTACAGTGGGGTGGAGAGCCGATGCTTGAGGATGCCTCGCCGACTCGTCTTCGTTTTATTACATGTATCACAAGCATCGGCCCAAGATTGCACAGCCCGAGTGCGCAACTCCCGAGTTGCTCGCTCACGCTAGGCGCGCTGCTTGCGCAGCCCTCCATATAAGTTGATACATGCACCGTGTGCAGGTAGGTGCGTTCCTCTTCGCCTTTGGTATGTCCAGGAGTTTGAGACCCGAGGACATTTAGTCAGGTCGCTGTGATGCGTCGCCCTTGCTCCGATTCCGATTCCGAGTATCCTTCCCGTTTATCTCTCTCTCTCTCTCTCTCCTATGGCCATCGGTCACTTGCACGAATTATTGCGTTGAAGACGTAAAGACCGCAACGCAGATGATTATCGCTTTTTGGCTAATAGTTGCATCCACATCAGAAGACGGCTACATAAGCCCAACGCTGTTGCTTCAGGCATCATCAGAGCCAGGGTTGCGCCGTGGCCTCCGTGCTAGGCCACATACGTAGTATAGACGCTTCGCGTAACCCCACCAGCCCACCCAGAAACGATGCCCAGGCGAGTTGCCGTGATCTGGGATGTGCAGAAGAATGCAGTTGAACCGCGGGCAAGGGAAGCTGTCATACCCCAGGATGGAGGAGGATGGAGGCGGGAGGAGGAGGAGACTGAGGAGGAGGAGGAGGAGGAGGAGGGACGGGGAGGGTGAGGGTGAGCGGGAGGGGGAAAAGGGAGCAGGGAAGAGGAGGAACAGGTGGAGGAGGAGGAGGAGGAGGAGGAGGCGGAGGAGGAGGAAGAGGGCAAACAGAATGGCCAGCGGCCTCTTGGATGCCTCTCGGAGTCTTTTCGGATGTCTCTTCGGAGCTTCTTGGAGTCATCCTGGGTCGTCTTGGTGGCTTCTTGGTGGTCCTGGAGGCCTCTCGGAGCGCCTTGGGTGCTTAGGGGTCTTTTGTGAGCCCGTTGGGGGCATTTGGGGGGCCTCTCAGGGCCTCCTGGTCGCCTCTTGGGGCCCTCTTGGGAGCCTTGGGGGACATATTGGGGCCATCTTGGAGGAGCTCGATCAAAGAAGGGGGGGGTCCTCAATTTGCACCCCCCCTCTCCCCAGGAGACCATATTTGGACCAAAATTGCGTAAACATAATGATTTGTACGTTTCGTCGAGGCCATCTTGGACGCTCCAACGTTCCGCGGGGCGCCCCTCCAGGCCTAGGGAGAGGGGGTAAGGGGAGGAGTAAACCCCTTCCCGAAAGGGACGCCTAAGAAGGAGGAGGAGGAGGAGGAGGAGCGAGGGGAGGGGTAAACCCCTCCCCGAAGAGGAAATGCTCTAAGCCACTTAGGCCCAGAGGGCTGCTGGGATTCAAAAATCGACGCCATTCCACGCTAGTCGCGTGGATGCGTTGTCTTCGCTGCGAGCCGAACGAGACGACGCAGTAGTTCTGCTTACGCAAGAACCGCGCTGTCAAGCAGGTAGCGGGCACGCAATGGTCGAAAACTCATATGTTTTCATGTCTGCCTTGGTTTTGACATGTGCATCGACACCCAGACTGCTGGGCAGCCAGAGCAGCAAGCGAGCAAGACTAGGATTGGGTCAACTCGCAAAAGCGCATCTGGGTGCCTGCGCCCAGCAGGTCTTCGAAGATCTCGTCCAGGAAAGGGCATGGCAAGGTTCACCGCTGGGACCGGTCTGGCTAGACGTCCCGTTTCAATCCGACGGGGACGCGGGACCCAAAAATTGTTTGGAAATCGGCAGGCGAGCTTTTGCGCAGCATGGGTTGCAAAAGCAAAACAAGAGGAATTCGTTATTGCGTTACTGTAGCAGTCGAGACACTCCGCCTCTGACTGACGCATCAGCACCATCATCATCATCATCATCATCATCATCAT